GGATATTTTGGCAGTTGGATGATATCTTGGAGGCTGGGAAACCATTTTATTGTAAACACAAGAGAGAAGAGGATGGAATTGAAAGTTAATCAGATACATCTCGAGAGGCAGAAGTTTGAGAAACAGATCCAGACAATTGATAGTAGTATTGGTTGAAGCGGTCGAAGTACATAGAAGTATTAAATTCTACAGAATATCAATATCAATACTCGTAGTTTATCTATTCTCTACCTCGACTTGATCAGGGCTAATCCCATTATCATATATTCTCCACTTAGGATGAACTATAATTTATGTGACACTCACTGACAGAGCCTTACCTTACCGTCGGACGCCGCGCGTGGTACACAGGTACTTCCACACACATGCTTTGCCCTTGATTTTTATTTTTATCAATAGAAAAACGTGCTGCGTAGATGTGTGCAGGTCAAAGCAGCATGAGAAGCTTCTAGAAATAGGCAAAAGGGCAAAGAGCCCCAGAATGATAAATGATATCCACCTCCACAGGCAAAAGAGAAGAGGGAAAAGGTGTCTAGTGCAAGCGAAGTGCTCGTCACGGAATTGAGATGGCTGAGCAAGATGCAAAAGAGTAAAAGAGAGGTAGGCTCAGGTAGGTTCAGGTAGGATATTCGGGTACGGAGTACAACATTAGCAATCGCAAATTTGCTCTCGACTCCTCCTCCCTCCGTACTCAGCAGGCATCAAGATGACAGCACGGACGAATAAAGTGTAAAGATTCCAGGGGCCACAAAAAATCTATTGGAAGTCGATGCCCTGCAAAGGAAGATCTGAATAGCACTAAAAAAGAAAGGAAGAGGAAAATAACTGGTAGCAACTTGGGATGAGCGATGGATTTGATTGACTGATATCATACGGCCATACGGAGTACATCCAACCCATACCATACATACCATACATACCTACATCCCATACATACGAACCATACAAACCATACCTACATACATACATACATACATACCCTCCATACCTTACCACTCTATTTTGTGAATATCTAAGAGGTCGAAACCTTTTGGTGTTTATTGCCATCTATCATCCCTCCTCCCCCAGTCTCTCTCTCTCTCTCTCTCTCACACACTCTCTACCTATATTTCCAACCTCGATCATATCCACCCATTCGCCCATCTTGCTCATCTTAGATATCTTGTTGCGCTCCTCTCAATCTCTCTCACACACTCTCTCTCACGGTCTTCACTTCACTCCACTTCTCTTATCCTATGGGACTTTTTTTCGGTTCCCCATTCATACCGAAAATAGCCTTTGACGCACCTCAAGAAACGAACAAATTTGCTTGTTCGCAATCCCCCCAAAGACAGCCATTTTCAAGGAGAAGAACAGGATAAAGACGGAGAAGAAGGCTACCAGGTATATACGAAAAAGATAAGAAAGAAAAAAGAGAGACAATAATCGCAAAAAAGCAAAGGCGAAAGCGAAACCCCCAAAAGTAAATAAATCCCTACTCTTTTTTTCATAAATACTTCAACTTTTCCTCCTACCTTTCTTTTATATATTCCTCCCTTTCGCTGTCTCTCTGTCTCTCTGTCTCTTCCTCTCTCTCTCTACCCTACCAAAATGGACTTTTGACGTCTGGTTTTGTGTTGTATGTATGCTGCAGCAAACGGAGTTGGGGAGTTCATGTTCTTATTGAATATATTCTAAGAGCTTCTATAAGATTCTAGCTAGGGAAAAAAACTTATATTCACCACACGCCACACACAACCTATCTCCAGCTAGGGCTGTTACTACTGGTATCACTCACTACCTATACCTAAGCCATTACAGCAAAGCCAACCGTCATATCATATTTTTTCTTTTTTTTCCCTCTCACAGTCTGTCCAACCACAATCGTTCGTCAGACCGGCTACACGCACCCACGGTCATCCCAGCGGGAATTATTATCTATTCTCAATGTCCTTTAACCTCTTTTCAAAAACACCAAGAAAACCAAAGAAACCTGAAGATAACGAGGAGGGGATTCAAACGGATTCGCCTCGCTCAAAATCCCCACTAAAGAAATCTTACTCAAGATTAAGTAAAAATAAAGAAGAGGAAAATATTAAATCAGAGGAAAAACAATCAGGCTCAACAAAATCCAGCCGTATTCGACCAAAGTCGAGTGTATACCCGTCGCGAAATTCTTTCGATCCAAACACTACTCATCCTTTAAACCTTCCGCCAGATCAACTGCGGAGGTTATCAACTCAAGTCAGGATGTCGGAACCTATGGATATTGACGTTGACTCTCCTGCCAGCGCTCGCAATCCTTCCCCACCACCTGCAACCAATTCACAATCAAACACGCAAGCAAGCTCATCTAAACCAGCAGAGCCTGCTCGTAAGCTTTCTTCCAAGTCTGCTCCAAAGCCCGCTCCTCAGCCAAGTGCACCCAATGGTGACAATGCTCCAGCTAATGGAGAGGGACCACCCCCTCCCCCACCAGCTCACAAATCAAACCCGACAAGTCCTCAAGCAGTAGCGCCACCAACCCCAGAAGAAGCAGAGACATTCAAAGATGCGGGAAATAGATATTACAAGGCTAAGCAGTACAAGAAAGCTATTGAAGAATACACCAAGGGTTCGTACCTTCGAAAGGGTTTAATACATGACAACTGCTGATATTTATACTATTTGTAGCTGTCGAAGCGATGCCGACATCATCCACCTACATCAACAATCGTGCTGCTGCTTATATGGCTGCTGGCCAATACTACCAGGCTTTAGAAGATTCCAAGCGAGCTGACCAGCTTGATCCTAACAACCATAAAGTACTTCTACGATTGGCTCGAATTTACATCAGTATGGGATTACCACAAGAGGCTATGGATACTTTTGGCCGCATTCAACCACCACCTTCAGCAAAAGACATGGCTCCAGCTAAAGCTATGTTGCAACATCTTGCGGCTGCAGCAGACGCACTCAAGAACGGAACTGGATCAATGGCAATACACTCTATTGAGCAGGCAGAAAGATTACTTGGTATGGGTGTACCCAAGCCACGCAAATGGCAATTAATGCGTGGTGAGGCCTATCTAAAAATGGGCAATGCCAATGCTTTGGGAGATGCACAAAACGTTGCCATGTCTTTGTTACGAGGAAACAGCCAAGATCCTGAGGCGCTTGTTCTGAGGGGTAGGGCTTTATACTCTCAAGGCGAAAATGAAAAGGCCATCCAACATTTCCGACAAGCTTTGACATGCGATCCTGATTACAGAGACGCAGTCAAGTATTTAAGATTGGTCAGAAAGGTTGATCAGTTGAAAACCGACGGAAACGCGGAGTTCAAGGCTGGGCGATACCCAAATGCCATTGAAAAGTACAGTGAAGCTCTCGCACTCGACCCTACAAACAGAGGAACAAACTCCAAATTACTTCAAAATCGTGCTTTGTGCAAATCTCGCCTCAAGGATTATGCGGCTGCTATTGAGGATTGTGATCAAGCTCTTCAACTTGACCCTTCATACACCAAAGCAAAGAAGACAAAAGCTACCGCTCTTGGCGAGTCTGGCCAATGGGAGGAAGCTGTACGCGAGCTCAAGCAGTTGCAAGAACAAGATCCTTCAGACGCTGGCATTGCTAGGGAGGTACGAAGAGCTGAACTCGAGTTGAAGAAGAGCAAGAGAAAGGATTACTACAAGATTCTTGGCGTTGAGAAAGACGCAGATGATAACCAGATCAAGAAGGCTTATAGAAAGGCAGCAATCATCCATCATCCAGATAAGAACCGGGACGATCCACATGCAGAGGAGCGATTTAAGGATATTGGAGAAGCCTACGAGACCTTGAGTGATTCTGAGTAAGTTTGATCTGTTTTTCCTGACATTACCGCGCAGTCTAACACAATACTTCAGGAAACGTGCACGATACGATAGTGGTGTAGACTTGGAAGATCCAATGGATGGCTTTGGAGGCGGTATGGGAGGTGGTGGGGGAGGAATGAACATTGATCCAGGTTAGTCTACAACGTTGATGTCCCAAATAACACTGCTAATGTTGTCAATAGAAATCCTCATGCAAATGTTTGGAGCCCAGATGGGAGGGGGCCGTGGAGGTGGAGGTGGTTTCCACAGTTTCGGTGGAGGTATGCCGCAGGGAGGTCGCGCTCGGGGCGCTCCTCAAGGCTTTCCAGGTGGATTCTCGTTCCAGTGACCTGATGAAGATCCGAATCAGGATATCAATCAAGATCAATCCACCTCTCACAACACATCAAAAAGTTCGCGTCAAAGTTCTGATTTCACAAAAGCTTCTCATGATCCCGACGGAACATGGTGGCTACGTAAAGCATGGATGGGGTTCCTACTGGCGGGCGTTCTTCTTCCTCTTGATCTCTTGGCCCTTCTAGCTTTTTTAATGGCCGGAGTGTACATTTGCATCAAAATCACCATTTACGTGCGTCGAAAACGCGACGCCTCATAGAATTTGGGGATTAGATTCCATTGCAGGCGTTTTCTATCGTGGATTTTCATTTTTGATCCCAGCTTTGAAAGCATGATGAAAGGATAACCACATACATACTGGACAGATTTTGAAACAGCATCAAAAAATTTGAAGAGGGTAATATGACAAATGAGGAATTGATGTACATGTCTGATGATATCTATCATAATGACATAGGATTTCTTTTATTACCTTCACTTAAATAGACTATTAATGAACATAGTTTGAAACATCCTTAACAGAATTCAATAATGTGATTGTTTGAAAGAAACGTTTACAATGTGAATTCAAATTACATATCAAATGCCGACCTTCTTTCCTTCGAGTGTTCCCCTCGGGAAGTCCTCAATAGTAGCAACGAGCACCCAAGTGAAGACTGAATCCGGATAAAATAGGGGCCGCCTCTCACGTGTCACCTTTTTACCAAGCGAAAGGCTGAAATTAAACCTTGCCTTACCCTTCACATTTGTGTGTTGTGGTGGGGCAGTATCTTCTGAAGAACCGCTTTCAGTAGAACTTTTTCAACATCATATTGCAAAAAAACTGGCACAAAAGTTATTTTAAGAGCTCAGGATACAACTCAAAAACCAGATAGGGATTCAACGTACAATTTTACAATCGTGCATCAAGTCTTCTTTCTATTGCAAGCTCTTGTCTCGTCCCCAACCATTCAACGAATAAATCTAAAAATTATTATGACTCGATAGCGGAGTCTCAAAGAATGCTACAGATGTACATGCGATTTACTTTACAATAATTGTGGATCATTTGAACTTCCTAAACCTTTCTGTCTGCTGTAACCTCAAGCTTTAGTTCTTGAGAATACAGTAGTCATGGACGCCCAGGTATGTTCTTGATACACCGCTTCCGGGAACTTCTGCGCTGGCGGGGGTAATGCTCGAGAATGGAAGTTTGGACATATAGGATGGAACATCTGTACTAATCTACCATTATTCTATAGATTGAGAAAGCCATCGAGATCGCATGGGACCCTCGATCCGACCCAAACTTAAAAGAACAAGCGGTTCAATATCTCACTCAAGTTCGAGGCGACACCTCGAGCCTACAAGCATGCCTTAACCTCTTCACCAGAGCTCCAAAAGCCGCCGAAGTCGTACGATTAGTTTCGCTGGACATTGTCAACAATGCGATACAAACTCAACATATAGACGATCAGAGCTTGCGTGGGCTCAAAGAACAACTACATGACTATGTCAGAAGAACATATGCCTCTGGGAACGAGGTCGATCCACCCGCTTTACAGAACAAGCTCACGCAAACCTTGACATTTTTGTTCTCATCATTATACAAGGAAGGCTGGGAAAGTTTCATCAGAGATTTCTTAAGCTTCGCAGGACATCAAAATGGATCAGTGGATAATCTTTCTGGAGTTGTATTATATTTGCGGCTTTTGAGCTCCATCCATGACGAGATTGCCGATTTGATGATAGCCAGGGCTGGAGAAGAGACAAAGCGAAATGTTGAGTTGAAGGACCTTGTGCGTGCCCGAGATGTACAGACGGTGGCAGGGTCTTTTCAACAAATCCTCACATACTGGCAAGGCAACAACGATGCCATTGTTGAAATGACATTGAAGGTTATTGGAAAATGGGTCTCGTGGATTGATATCTCTTTGGTCGTAAATCAGGATATCTTGAATTTGTTGTTTCCTTTGGTTGGCCGAAACCCTAATGGTGGTGAAGACAAAGTCAAGGATGCTGCCATAGACTGCTTCACAGAGATTGTGGCAAAGAAGATGAAACCTTCTGATAAGATAGGAATGATTCTGTTCTTAAATCTCGGAGAAGTTGTGTCGCAACTTATCACAAGTCCAGCCCTACACGACTTACGGAACACCTCTAGCTATGATACCGATCTTGCGGAAGCGGTTGCAAAACTGGTCAACAACGTTGTTTCAGATCTGGTCAAAATCCTCGAGGACACCAAAGTTGAACCCGATGTTCGAGCCCAAGCAGAACAATTATTGCAAACTTTCCTTCCACTCCTACTCAGATTTTTCTCGGACGAATACGACGAGATATGCGCTACAGTCATACCATCTCTCACAGAGCTCAACACATTCTTACGCAAAGCACAGCCATTACCACCTGCATATTCCGCCATGTTGACACCTATTCTCAATGCGATAATACAAAAAATGAGATACGATGACACTTCTTCCTACGCCGATGAGGATGAATTAACAGACGAGGCTGAATTTCAAGAGCTTCGAAAAAGATTACAAGTTCTTCAAAAGACTATCGCCGCAGTTGACGAAGCTTTGTATGTTGATGTCTTGAGCAACGTGATTGGAAGCACATTCCAGAGACTCGAAGAGCAAAATGGTCAGATAGACTGGCGTGATTTAGACCTTGCACTGCACGAAATGTACCTTTTTGGGGAACTTACCCTCGTCAACGGTGGCCTTTATGCCAAAAGCCAGCCATCCAGTATCGCAGCCGAACGTTTGATCGTCATGATGTCCAAAATGGTCGAATCCGGTAAGATTGTGCGAGCACCTTTACAGGAGAATCCACTAATTGTAAATAGGCATTGCTTCATTCAATCATCCTGCCATTTCACTCCAGTATATGGAAATCTGCGTTCGATACTGTTCGTTTTTTGAGAACCAAACCCAATATATTCCTCAAGTTCTCGAGCAGTTCGTTAGTTTTGTGCACCATAGTCATTCACGAGTCAGGATACGTTCGTGGTATCTATTTCACCGATTTGTAAAACACTTGAGAGGTCAAGTAGGCAATGTTGCGGAGACTATCATTCAATCAATCAGTGATCTCCTTCCTTTGAAGGCAGAAGTACCAAGGGAAAATGATGATGACATGTCATCAGATGATGGCAACCATGATGCAGCCGATGTTGCATTCAATGCCCAACTCAATCTTTATGAGGCAATTGGTTGTATTTCATCCACAACTTCAACACCAATAGAGAAGCAAGCCATTTATGCCAGAACAATCATGGATCCTCTATTCTCAGACATTGAGCGAAACTTGGAGCAAGCTAAGTCGGGAAATGCACAAGCTGTTCTACAAATTCATCACATCGTTTTCGCTCTTGGATCATTAGCCCATGGATTTTCTGACTGGTCCCCTGGAGAAGGAAAAAGGGCTGGACAAGCACCTGTCAAAGAGATAACCATTGAATTCAGCCGTACCGCGGAAGCAATTTTGTTTGCACTCGAGGCACTTAAGGCCTCTTTCGAGGTCCGTAATGCAGCAAGATCCTCATTCTCTAGACTTATGGGAGTCATGGGAGTTGCTATGCTACCTCTCCTTCCGAGATGGATCGATGGCTTGTTATCCCAAAGTTCTTCCAAAGAAGAAATCGCCATGTTTTTACGACTATTGGATCAAGTGGTATTTGGATTTAAGAAGGATATACATGAAGTTCTCAACTCCCTACTGACACCACTTTTCCAACGAGTTTTTGCTAGCTTAAGCGAGCCGGTTACAGGAACAGATGATGGAATTCAACTCGCTGAATTGCGAAGAGAATATTTGACCTTCGTAACGGTCATCTTGAATAACGAGCTCGGTTCCGTGCTTGTCAGTGAGCAGAATCAAGCTTTCTTTGACCCCCTTATTCAGTCGGTCACAACCTTGGCGAAGACAGTCACAAATGAAAATGGCAATCTCGCGGCCAGCAAGATTGCCTTTAACGTCATGACAAAGATGGCAGAGATCTGGGGTGGCCCAACGATTGCGACTCCAGGCCAGCCCATTACTTCGCCTGTTTCCCCTCAACCAACGTTTCCCGGCTTTGATAGTTTTCTCATTGAACGTTTTCACCCGGTTTGTTGGGAAGTTCTTCGCGATCCAAACTTCAGACCATTGGTCGATGCACAATCCAAGAGCGTTTTAAATGAATTGGCAGGGCTGGAACAGGTCATCTATATGAAGACTGGAAATATGTTTGTGGAGCATTTACAGGGCAATTTCTTCCCAAGCATGGGTGTAGATGGTAGCGGATTTATTAAGAGCATGGTGGAGAGTCCGGAAAGGAAGGGATTGGCGACGTTTTTGCAGAATTGGATGAAAGGAAAAGCTTAGAGCAATGCATTCATTTGCACAGGCGAGGAATGATGGTAGCGATGAGACAATGAGGTTTCGTTGATATCCGGTCAGAGGTGGAGATTTACTGATTGTTAGAACGGCATGAGGGGAGGAGAGGAATCATTGCATTTTCGAATGGCGTTGGAATGGATGTTTATATCATGGTTGGCCGGTGATTGCAACGAAACTTAAACTATACCACAAATGGATATGCAGGTATTGGGATGGGAGGATGAATATCATGATCCCTTCAATTGGGCTTTAGGTTGAAACAGTGCTTTGGGAGAAGAAGTGGCTCGGCCTGAAGTTATTGCTTTAGTTCAAAAACAGTGGATGTGCTGAAAATGGTGCTTGTCGATTGTTGATGATTCAGTAAGCAATTACTTAAAGAAAAAAGTCAAATCATTAACTATCGTATGTCGACATGCTCTTATGCGTGTATTACGATACGAGTATTTGGGATGAGTGCAGCGCGGTTGTGTAGTTGCAGAGGATGGATAGAGCGAGATGAAATAGCTGAGCTGTTGAAATAAGGAGAAAGAGGTGGTAGACGGAAACTGGTGTGTATGTTGAAGCCAAATCCGAATGAAGCGAATTAGATATATTAGATATATTGGCTAGGTTAATCTACCAATCGATTTTATTCCCTATGCTCGCCGAGGAATGTATTTATTCTCGTCCCATGTGCTTTGCGATCAGTCTGGATCTTTTAATCTCACTGCGTTGATTTTCGGATAGCTTTCGAATATTAGATTAGGAGCGAACCCATTTTTGATCAGCAAACCGTTAGCAAAAAGACTTTGAGACAGACGGTAGCCGAAATGGTCTTGGCCCCAAGGAGCTGGTGTCTCGATTGCTAGATTCAATTTGAAGACTGGTAATAGTAATAAAAGGGGTTTGCTTGCAGATACTATAGACTCGCCTAAGATTACAGAACTGATAGCCGCTCTGAGATCCGGAGTTGCAGAACACGCCTGCTCGTCCGATGTATCATGGATATGGATATCGCCAGATGGTATACCCAAATCTAAGTATTGTCTAAGTAGTCACTATATGCGATGGGAATGTGGATATTTGCATTTCAAAATCTACTTGGTTTAGTACATGTTGTTCGGATGGACGTTGTTGTGGGGAAAGGAGGGTCCATTCATTAATTTCTTTCTCTCGTTCCCCTCTCCCTTTCTCTCAAGACATATTACCCACCACTCAACACTGGAACTTACATATCTATACTCTACTAACCCTCCCACCACAGTCCCAACAACCATCCTTTGTATCGGCCAGATAAGCGGTTTAACCAGCCCCATCGACACTCCCTGGCCAATACAAGATTGGTTCTATCCCATTCTTCTTACTTCGATGTCACTCTGCCTCTTACCTCAGCAACTTACTCCTATCAATTGAGTTCCGATCAACTCATTTGCTGCCGTGATCTCCGAAAATTTCGCTTCATATGGAGATGCATCTTCATTTTCAATTTCGGAGGCCAAGTACTCGAGTGAGAGCGAGGATGGGAAAAACATTCAAGCGTATAATATCGTCAATCCAGCTACTATTTCCTGGGATCTACTTGTAGAGATACTACAAGATCGTTTTGGAAAGGATAACGGCCGACAAACAAAGATACTTCCGTTATGAGAATGGGTCGGGGAGATTGAGAAATATAGTGCGAAGTTGGATGTGAAGATAATGGGGATAGAGAAGACTTTCAAACCTGCATTGAAGATGATTAAGAGACTGGGGGATGGGAAGGCAATGGATGATGTTAGGTAGATGACGGGTAAGAGCAAAAGAGCTAGTAGGACAATGAGGGAGATGAGAGGTATTGATAGGGAGATGATCGAGATGAGGTTGGGACAATGGGGGCTGTAATTTGGAAATTGATTATTGGGCTGTTTAATGGATTGTGGAAAAGGGAGTAACTGACCAAAATAAGACTCAAGTGCAGTAAGCTCATAAGATTGGAATGTTCAGTACTTTATTGCGATTTACAATTGTCCCTTGCGAAGTGGTTGATTTTCTAATAATATCAAGTAGCCTTCTAGAAACTTCACCAGAAACAAAAAAGTTATTTGCATTAGTAAAATCCTTCTTTATACTGTTAACATTAAGACTAAACTTCCAGTCTCATACTAGAAAAGGATATATCCACCCATGTGCACCCAGATGTATCCATACATCCATAACGCCATCGAAAACTATTCTGATTGCCGTTCGTTCCAACCCCTCATAAAATCAAGCAATGTCTACGTTAGACCTGAAATTACACTGACATTTGCATTCGGCAACTGGACATTCCACGTGTCTATCAAACCAATTTACCGCATGATCCATATGAGCAGCATGCTTGCATTTCATGCAGAAAGTAAGTTGATTGCCCATTCTCTTCACCAATGGATCCTCCGAAAGCTCAGGCCTGTCCGATCTTGGAGAGCCACAAATCTCTAAACAGATTCCGCAGCGAGGTAGGTGCGAACCACAACGAGGACAGCTAAGACCGGCATTAATACCGCTAGACATTAAAGGATTGCGTTCGTCAGCGCTAGAAGAGAGACCAGCGGATGAATTAGGAGGTGCGGGAGCAGCGCCTGTAGCATTATGACGATCGTTTGCCGAACGGTTATCGCAAAAGAGACAACGAAGAGTAACTTGGCGGATGGGGGGTTTAATAACTGGAATACCGTCTCGTTGACGAGACTTCTTGGCCGAGCCTTGGTCAAATTGGACGCGTAGTATGAATTGTTGATGGCGATTTAAATAAGCTTGGTAGTCACGACGCCAGGCATCGCAGCGAATGTCGGAGATGTAACGAGGGTAGCAGAAAGACATGATTAGGATGGCGGTTTGGTAGTCAAAGAACTTTGCGACATATTTCGCCAAGATATCGACCATGTTGTCCGTGATTCCTGCAAGAACGATACCTTCGATGTCTCCGTGTTTGATAGCTTCTTCCATTTCCTGGTCAAGCCATTCTGTAAGCTGTAGGTCACTAAGGTATCTTAGAGCCACACCGGCGCGATATCTCAATGGTAAAGCCGTCTCATTTGCAATGACCTCCCAGTCTCTCGTTGTAATGTAGCTAAATATAGCTCTTAGATATGGATCGTCCGACATGTGAGCTTGTTCTCGAAGTGTCTTGCTCCAATTGGAGAGATCAACGTTGGGAGGACTCTTGACGGTAACATCGAGTGCCACAGCAACAAATACTAGCTCTTTGTCTCCGCGTCTGAGGATCTCCACTGCTTGTTCAGGCTCGCCCTCAAACAGCGCCCGTGCAGCTGCTTTAGTAAATTCTCCTCTTCCCTCTAGACGAGCCAACATCTCTTTTAGCTCTGCGGCAGGTGTTGCAAAACTGCACTGGGCAAGGCATAATTGTCGGTGTTGGGGCTTCATAGTTGGCACACCAGTATATTCTTCATGGCCGACACGTTTATTTATAGAAGCAATAAGCCGTTCCCATTGAGTGTGATCAGGGATGACGGTGCTCTCAACAAGTCTTGATTCGGCTTTACCACCAAGATTATTGTTCCACAAGGTGTGAACTCCCAAATAGCTTAGATCAAGGGTCGAAGACAGCATACCGTCATCCTTAGCAGCTTTCTCGGCAACTGATAATGTTAAAAAGTTTCAAAGATGATAAAGAGGATGACATACCTGAAATCCAATACCACACATCCCTAAGCCATGGATCTTCCCTGACTAACGATTTGTTCTTATTGCAGTCAAACAAATAACCATTGAGAGCACGTTGAATAAACAGATTGCCAATTAGCATGGCGTCAGCCTTAGAAGATGGTATGCGAGATTCAAGTAACATCTCGTGCATCTCCCTGCTTGAACGAATCTCAGTTGTCGACAGACTTTGAGTCTTCGACTTTCCCTTGCCCAAAAGACTCATAGCGGATAACTTATTGTTCAAAGAGCCAAAACCATTATAATCGCCAGCACCGCCTCTTTTAGCAAATGTTTCAGATACTGGATCGTTGACCATCGAAAGCTGCCGGTCAATAGCTTCTGCAAAAGTTGCTTTTGTAAAAGCTGCCCTTTTGATCTGACTACCAGGGATTTCCGCTTTGACTCCCGATGCTGGAGCTTCGGGACGCTCAAGAGCTTTGTCGAGAGCAGCCGCTAAAGACTTTTGAATATGCGGGGTGTTGTATCCGTCTGGCCCAAACACTGGCGTATTAAACTTCAACTCTTCTGCAAAAAGGGGGCCAAGGTTCGCCCGACGCTCGGTGGCATCTGCGAAGTCCATCAAAGTATGATAGGGTACCTTGTCATGGTTATGTGGTGGCTGCCATGGCATGAAGTCCATCATTTGACCATTACTAGAGGGTGGTGTCTGCATGATCTCAAATGATCCCGAGGCCCTTAACGCAACAACGCGAGGCTGCAAATCTGTATTACCTAGTGTTAACCAATCGAAAGAGACAATTCTATCCTCTTGCCTACGACCATGGTCTGGGTCTACATATGGATATTCGAGATCGAATGACTTCTTGACCTGAAGTAACTCCGGGCTTCCTTTGACATCATCTTCGGAGCCGGGATCGTAATATTCTTTGTTAGTCTTCAAGATCTGAAGCTGACCGGCATTTGAGAGAACACCCAAAGTTCCTCGATGCTCTCGGCAATAGCGCAATGATTTAATATACGAACCCTGTTTTTCGGTGGAAATGACCTTCTTAAGTTGCAGAGCGGCTCCCCAAACATATCCATCGTTATCAAAAGCATCTAAATACATTGGAGAGGCTGTGGCTCGTGTGCTGGCACGTCTGTCCCAGACCATGAGTCCAGGTTGATCTAAAGAGGATGAAGCAAAATAGTTGGGGTCTGAGTAGTCGATGGTAAGGTTATTGTTGCATTTGGTTTGAAATGTGATTACTCCGCCGCTCGGATCTATTATATTTTAGTATATAGATCTAACAATATGAAATCGAACTAACCTCTGAGATCATGAATTCGAACACAAGAGTTCTTGATACCAATAGCAAGGGTTTGCGGTTGATCCTCAAAGAACTTGATGCTAGTTACCTGTTGGGTGTTGTCAGTAGCGCCATCAGGGGTGCTTTTCTCACGTCCACTCACGGTGGCCGACTCTAACTTTCTCGGCTCGACCGCATTATTTGGTACCTTCCATCCTGGCTGAGAGGTATCCCAACCAGTTAGGCGTTGATTGACATCCCAAATCTGCAGGGAGCCATCATTGCGAACTCTTTCGAGGCCAATTGCTAATAGTCCAGTCGTATTGAAAGCGACAGCTTGACATGCTCTTGGCTGTTTGATGGAAAGAGACAAGACAGCATTAGAATTGTCATCAACTCGTAGTAATTGAAGTTCGCCACTAGAAGTACCAACAGCAACCAAACCTTCGACAACTGGCGACCAGTCGAAAGTGTTCAAAGAGGGAATATCAATGTAACGAGACAAGGGTTCATACTCGAATTTACCAGGCCGTGCAAGACCCTTGGCCTCATAGACTTGAAGGATTCGATAATTCAAGTTGAACGCAACAAACTGTGCACGAGCCGAGTTTGGCGACCATCTAATGATTCCTTCCGTCTTGTCCATGTTTGCCGGAAAGTGCCAATCTGGTGCTCTGTTCCAGTCTAAGAGTTTAACCCTTTCAACTCTTGCGTTTCTATCCGGCTGGTTGTATCGCCAAATGCCCAGTGGGTCTTGAGACCAGCCTGCAAGATGTACCTATCAGCTGATCTGCCTGCACTCAAGGCAAGTCAACAGAACTTGACTTTTAGATGAGAAGCTGCTGATTGCGAGGGTTTCGGTCGGAATCGAAAAGACGTGAAATCGAAAATAGTATTGTTCACAACTTCATGATTAGCACAATTTAGCTCTGGGTAGGTCTTGAATTCGTAGCCCTGTTCCTCTATAATATCCGTATTTCCAACGGGATTATTTATGTTTTAAAGGTGTCCGACTCTGAAATCGCAATTGTAACCAGAACAAGTAGCGATGGGTTTGAATACTTTATTAGTTCGACTGTTCTGTGATCCAAATAAATTTGGAATAGCAGGCTGCCCTGAGTCTCTCGATCTATAAGTCAACTATTAGTTAGATAGCTCCCAAATTTCATGTATTGCTTGAAAGTTGCTTCTGTAACTTTCTCTCTCGCCATACACAATGAAGCAGTGAGATATGAATCTGCACTGAATTCGATCTCTTGAATCTCTTGAATTTCTACACGTGAGAAAAGCTGAGAAGTAGTAATAGTTATCAAAAATAAACCAAGATACTTACAAGCTGTCTGCCATTGTATTGTTTGGTGGCTCGTGCTCAGTCGGGTTAATGTTGTTCCATGTTGTTTCAAAGTGGATTTGGGTGTGGAGGAAATAATATTTTGTAAGTTTAACAAATTTGACAAGGCTGAGCAACTACAACAAATTCAGCTTTGAATCAATTTTTTTATCAATTCAACAACAACATGGCACCAAAGCGCAAACTCTCGGATTCTGATGCCGCAGAAGTAGTGCATCCATCTAGACAAATTCAGGTCTACGGCGATGAACCAAAACCCGCAAAAAAAAGAAAGTCAGAACCTGCATTTAACAAAAAACAAGCTCATGCCTCCAGCGTCAACACCATAAAAAAGAAGATAAGAGACATCACAAGGAAGCTTGAAAGGGCGCAGGATCTTCCTGCAGATGTGCGCGTGGATAATGAGCGAGCTCTTGCTGCATACCAACAAGAATTGGCCTCTGCAGAAGCTGAGAAGACTAGACAGAAGATGATAAAGAAATACCATATGGTCAGGTTCTTTGGTATGTTACTCCCTCGGCACAGGATTTGTTTTCCAACAGACTAATTGGGAATTATAGAGCGTCAAAAGGCTACCAGACAATTAAAGAAACTCCGAAAACGTCTTCTGGAATCTGATTCTACTGAGGAAGTCGAGCAATTGAAGGATGAAATGCACATTCTCGAGGTAGATCTCAATTACACTCAATACCACCCTCTAAGTGAAACATACATTAGTCTCTATCCACCAAAGGGATCGGGAGAGGATGCAGAAGATAAAGCGACTAAGGAAAAACCTCCAATGTGGAAGGAGGTCGAGAAGTGCATGGAAGAAGGAACCCTCGATCGATTACGGAATAGAAAGCCAGATGTCACTGTTTCGACTACAAAGGCTGTCAGACTTCCAGAGAGAAAACTTGTAAAACCCAAGTCAATGCCAAAACCAAAGCCTGTCGTCCAAGCCCCAGTTATCGACACGGCAGGAATGAATCGACGCCAGAGAAGAGCTCAGCGCGGAGTGAAAGACTCTAGGGCTACAAAGATTGCAAAGAACAAATCTACTGGGTTTTCTAAGAACCAAGCATTTGGGGCCGTGGAAGGAGCAAGAGCGGATGAGGCTCAAGATGGTAATGTTAGCGATGGAGGTTTCTTCGAGGAGTAATGGTAATTGTATGGAGTTGGACTGTATTACGATACCCGTTTATCAAACACGTTTAAGTGAAAACCATGACTATCAATGTTATACTGTTTTATCTTTCAACAAATTCTGCTTGCTTTCGTGATACATTGTGTTATGCATCACCAGTCAAGCAGCAGTCTGCAATTGGGAAGCACTAAAAGCTGATTCAGATTATCATAAAGTTCTTAATGTATTGGCTGTGATTATCTGGGAATAGAGACTGGTCGGATAGCCGTAGGTGGCACTTTTTAATACAAATGAGTCTATTTGCGATCATCGAGACGGCGTTAAGTGTAATTTTTCATTAGGCGCATGTGATCTATGGTGAGCTCCAATGTCAAGACCAAGAGTTATAAGTTATCCTCATTTATTTGCCACGTATGGTATGACTATTTTCAACCCAGCATGGGGTATTTTGACATTTTCAGGCATTCTATCAAGCCAGAACATTGACATGAAGCAATTGTTCGCAATAAAGCACCTCTCAAAAATTCACCAGCCTCACCACTCCCACCATCCATCCACCTAGACACCCCAAAGTCCTCCATCAACCATCGACTACTTCACCACCCAAACAAAATTCAAAAGCCAAAAAAAATGTTTTGGTTGTATCGAAACTCACTCCGGGAACGTCAGCAACAATGGCTGAGATCTTTTCGGAATTCGGGCACGCAGAAGCGTGACCGTAGTACCACCCATCTCTGTTTGTTTCTGAAGGTAGCGTTGTTGTTTAGATCTATATTCCTATGTTATAAAGGAGTGAATATACATCAAGTGGTGCGCAGTGTATAGTACCGAGTTTGTAGGTGAACACGCGAAATGACTTGGGTACCTACTAGGGATTTAGTGGAAGGGTGTTCGGTATTTTATTATTCTTCTTCACTTTATATTTTATGGGCTATTGCGACAGGGTAGAAGTACTGCTGGTGGTAAAAAAAAAACTACCTAAAATCTCAAGACTAATAATAATGTCGCGCGGGTGAGTGTACAGGACGAGTGTAGTGAACATATGCTCATAATTAGATATGTGGATCCACATCCGCGAAGCGAGAAACCATATAGACATCTTTAAACAAGCTCGCAAGGTCGCTACCTTCAGAAATATAAGAACAAGCGGCTGCTCCCTATGGGCTGCGCTGGCTCAGTGTTCTTGGCCAATCACTTGGTTTGTGCTTTGGTGTCGATGTAGTTGAATTTCGACCGTAGAATTGTAACATTAGGGCTTTTCCCCGATGTTTTGCTATTGTAAACCTCCTTTTCGGAGCTTTCATCTCTTTCTCTATTTTTGGGAAACTACTATTTCCCTTTTTCCCTTTTTCCCTTTTTTTTCTCATTCTGATTCTCCATCTCCTTTTTCTAACTTTGAATCGACAATTAAAAGGACGATTTAGATTGATCCAATACTTATCATCCGGTCGCGTCATTTTCACCTGCTGACTTCATGAATCTAAACCCCATCTCAATTCTCATTTGCGCGTAGAATACAGATTGGGAATATGTAAATAACAAGTGAAAATCAAGAAAACTGTGTTATTTTGGTCCCGGGAATACATATGGTTTCTCGTCAGAGCTGTGTTTATTAGTGGGTGAAATGGTATTTCTAGTATGGCCTTGTTGGCACCGGGATAATAGGCGATATCAAATTTGGCGATAGGTTAATTTTCGCATGACAGTAAGAGGTCAATTTTGTTGGCAGTGGTGAGTATCGTTTCCAGTGTGACAATCAGATCATAATCTTTTCGACTGATGATAATCTGGGGTTCATATCAGACTTATATTGCTTAAGCTCTTGTCACACTTTCATACTTTTTGAATTTCCTGGTTCCAACATAGGACGAACTGGCACGAGGAGGCCAGCTGATGAAACCGCACCAAGATATGTACAATGATCGGAACGACCACGAAAATGACCATGGATCTCATTCAAGAGCGAAGCCTTGACTCTTAAATAGGAACAAAATCTCTGTTAAAAGATTATTCAAGTGACTGTAGTATGGTTAAGACTCGACTTTGGGATTCAATTCCGACATAACTACCTATAGACAGTTTGATCTAACTGGTGAAATCACTCTAACATGACATGATCTACCATAGTCGGAAGGTATCTAGATATTGACTGATCCAGGGACCAGAAGGGGCCTTCTCAACTGCTGATGTATTCATTACCCCTAACCTATGGCGGCTAGAGTGTATGTTTGACCAAAAAAGAGCTCTCATCAGCACTTGCCTTGTTAATACACAAGAAGGGTGGCAATATGAAGATAGGCCATGTTCTGACACTTGTAAGATTTCGATAACCGATTACACTTTTGGAAACGAAGAGATGGATGATAGAGATTGAATTATAAGAATAACAGTTAAAAGAAACTATATAGAAATTCACCGAGATTAGAAAGTTGGTAGCCAACTTGGAGGATAGAGTGGCGGCAATTGGATATGAAACCTTATCGGTATATCCTCAAAGCTGGTCTCGACCAAGAGATATTCCTGTGTACCCTACATCAGGGCCCAGTAAAAAGTATTTCGGTAAAAAGTCTTGAGTAGCTGAACAGTGACTCACGATCTCTTGATGTCTACAGTAGACGGGACCCTGATCTCATTCTCAAACGCCTGCGGATAGGGCCTTTCGATATTGCTGTAGATATTTACTTGGGGAAATTGCCTAAATTTAAGAGCCATTCACTCTCCTGAACTATCGCAGCGCCTGGCAATATGACTATCCAACAATTTCTAGACACAATACCCACGAAACTTTCTCTGTCAAGCATTCAAAGACATCGACAATCCATCTCCTATTCTTAAGCTAGTCATCACGTGTGAGGGGTCGTCCCGCAGTGCTAATGCGGACCCACAGCACCTATTCCACCCCACCTTCCCAAGCAAGCCTCAAGCCAAAAAAAAGCACATCCCTACCATCACCAAAATCCCATCTAACCTCTAAAATCCCATCCCCAAAACGCCACGAAAAATGTCTCGCATACTGACCGACAAAATCCGCATCGAGCCTGAGCAAACCGAACCCGAAGACCTTTTCCAATCCTCCCTCTCCGCCCTCTTCCCCGATGATATTCAAAATCAACACGGCGACAAAGATCAACACATCATCTACACCTCCCCAACTCTCGGCGAGATAGTTCTCGAATTATCCTCCCCCCTTGGCGAAAAGGGAAGATTGTTATTCGCGCATTATCTCTGGAACGCAGGGTTACAACTCGCCGAATTTTTTGAAGATGGGGATGGAAAGCGAGGAGGTAGAGAACGATGGGAAGTCACAGGCGAGAGAGTTTTAGAGGTTGGTAGTGGGACGGGATTAGCAGGCATAGTGACTGCGTTGATGGGAGCAGAAGAAGTGGTTTTAAGTGATTATCCGGACGAAAATGTACTTGCGAATCTAAAGAAGAATGTAGCGAAGAATATTGAGACGAACGGGTTTGGGGATGTGAAAGTACAGGGGCATGAGTGGGGAGTGTTGACCGATGAATTTTCGATGGGGAATAAAGAGAGCTTTAGTAGGGTGATTGCATCGGATTGTTTGTGGATGCCGTGGCAGCACGAGAACCTTTTGAAGTCGATTAGGTGGTTTTTGAAGGAAGATGGGCGGTGAGTTATCATGAGGTTTTGTTCTTTCTAATTTCTCTTGCCCCATACTACCTAGTGGAGATTACTGTGTTGGGCTCAGATGATTGATCAAACTTCCCCGTTGGCAGAATAACTGATTCAATTAATATCTAGGGCTTGGATTTGCGCAGGATTTCACACAGGCCGGGAACTAATGCGTGGGTTCTTCGAAGAGGAAAAGCTGACAGCAGCTGGCTTAGAGATAGAAACAATATATGAGAGAGATGCTAATGGTGTCGAGAGAGAGTGGGTTGCAGATAGAGGAGCAGAAGATCGAGATGCAATCGCCAGAAAGCGATGGCTGGTAATTGCTGTTCTGAAGAGACGATAAACCTGTCCATCGAACAAAAGTTCTTGTACACAATTCGTTTACATATCATCTCTCATACCCCAGCAGCAAGGATAATGGTGTTTGTTGTAGTGCTTTTCAAATATATTGCTTTAGAGCTACAACGAGGCATCCGTAGACAGCTATAATCATAGTATAGAGAGGTTCACACCAATTAGTGGCAGACAATTAAAAGACCATAGATAATGTCCTTCGCTTCTCTGGAAAAACAACAGGCACAGAACATACTGGTGAGAATAAAGTAAAACACCAATATGCGCCCAATGTGAGCATCCCCTTTCATCTATGACGCCGCCACTGTCTTGCGCCTATCGCCTCGAATCGTGTCCAGATCACTGAATTTTTTCCGTCTCAACGACTATTTTAACATCTCCATCCATCCACTCTGTCTTTCTGACTGATAATAGAGCCATGGCATACGTTGCTTCCGACTTAATCTCGACCAAGCCATTGGGACCTAAAACCTTCATAACTGTCTTCTTATAAGGTGCTTTTACTGCAGCGTCAACATGTGCAGTAAAGCTGACAAAACCTACACAGTTCGTGGGATTTAAGGTAAACATATCCCTGATACGTTTGCCATTATGAACAATATTGATATGATACTCAAGTGGTGCTGGCTGCTTGGCATTAATGTTTGGGGTTTTAGCTATTTGTGGCTCATTTACTCCATTAGCGGTGGCATTGGCTGCTACGGCTTGACTGGATGCAATTTGATTAGGCAAACTGAGTTTGGGATCAATTGTTGAGGGGCTGGATGCCGGAGTGCCGTGAGAAAACGCCGCAGCGTGTAATTGGGAAAGCTCTTCCTCTTTCTTTTTTTGGATTCTTAGGTTAAGGGCATATAGTCGCTGTCTCTCATTGGTGACCATGCGACGCAATAAAGGGGTAATTCTAGTAATGATCCTAGAGATGACTGTCAAAAGAATAGCACGTGAATCGGTAATTACAAAACTCACCTATTCGGCATTTGAGGCCACATGCACTTCCTTGTAGCACCACTTGGAGAATCTTTACTGAAAAGTTTTTGGCCCCATCCCTCTCCCCCTTCTGCCTCGTCGGCTAAGAAATTTCTGACACATGCATAGAGCTTCAGCTTTGTCATATCATTATCTCTTTTTTCTTTAGTACCGACACATGCGCTTCGATCTGGGTGACTCGGATCTAACATGTAGTCCTTGGCTGCAGCTTGTAGCGTGATGAAGTCTTCAGGTGCCAACTCCAACTTTGCGAAAAGCTTCGACATTGCCGGTCCTACAATGTGGTTAGCCACATTATTATATGATAATATTAGGGAGACTTACTGGCGTATTTTCTGTTAGTTGCTGTTGATTTTCGGAAAAGTGCTGCAGCTGAATAAACACCATGCGCTCTTGGGTTGAGATCAGGAATTGTCGACGATTTAGCTCGAGAATCGTTGTCATCACCCTCACCTTCTCCCTCAACATCTTCATCCTCTTCCTCGATATCAGAAGGTTCCGACCCCCATATTTCTCGTTCTCTCGCAGCTTCCTCTTCCTCTTCCTCTGTGAGTTTTCGCACTTTTCTTGGTCTAGATTTAGCATTTATAAAACCAAACATTTCGCCCACTTCCTCTGCTGCATCTTCTGATTCATCTCTGCGACGTTTTGAGGATGCATTGCTTGGTGAACCTCGAGTACTTTGTCCGTTGCCATTATTGCTTGATGGTGTGCCTGATCGCATGCCAGTTACCCCTCCAGCCGTATCGGCAGCTTTCAAAAGGGTCGCGAATTGTGCATTTGTGCTGGTAGATTTAGGAATCTCGTGATTGCGAGATGAGTCCCATTTTGTGTTTGTAAGTTTTTCCAACAATTCAATTGGATCATCTATATCTGCAATATCTTTGACGGTCAATTCACGCCTGTCTATTTATCGAGTCAGCAGTGTGATATTAGAGAAATGTGATATTGGAGCTCGCTACTTACTTGATGGATAATTTGGCAAATCTGCATATCTATTACCAGTACCATTTCCATGTTCATTCCCATTAGTTCCTAGGTTTCTCACTGAATGTGCTTCATTTTGAATTGTTGAAGGTGTATGGAATTGAGTTTCATTAGCCATGATGCATTCGGCGATTGATGGTGATGACTTGTGGGTACACCGTTTTGTCCTGTTTGCTCTTTGCTCAAAATGCGATTTTCTTTTTGCGACTTTGGCTTGGTGGGTTGGTGGGTTGATTGAAAGGTACGATTTCATGTGATAATCGGGACATCGGAGTCAAGAAAGATTTTTTGCAAGGTTATCGCTAGATGAATCATGACCTATCGATGATTGGATTAGTCATGGTTAGTCATCATCGTCCCTGCAAGCTTGTGGATGGAATTTACCAACAAAAGCGGATGAGACAGTACTAATAAAGTAACCTTGGAAGTCCTTTAGTGGGCCGTAGGTACTAGTAAATGCTTCATTGTACGAATTCATCATACAAGTCGGTATACATTCGATACCATTCATCAGAACTGGCAGAACAACAAATGAATAGTCATTCTATTAATCATTGATACCTTTTCACACTCCTCCAAATGGAAACACCCTCTGTCATCGTTCTGATATAATAGTCATGATAGAAACGCTTGCAACTTCATCGCCTATAGGCTCAGAGATATTTGCTCTGATTGCCCTGTTGGTTATTAGTCTAGTTGTACTACTTATACTCCGACATTATCTGCCTATCCGTACGACTCCGGCATACCTTCTAGTTCCCATCTTTTTCGCGCTCTGGCTGCCGGCAAGTATCGTATTACTTGTTCCTATTGATCTTGCTTCAAGTGCAAGGACCGAAGATGCGGGAAGTCGAGGAATATGGCTCTACGATCGAGTGCTGTTGGTCGCCTGGCGCATCACATACTGGCTCACATTTGCCTTGACTTGGTTCGAGACACTTCATGCCTCTGTTTGAGACCATACTGATATTTCACCAGGTTCATTTTTACCCATACTTGCTGAATATGCTGATGCCGGTTATCGAGATCCAAAAGGCCGTCTACTATTTTCTTTGCGCGCAAATGCCCAGTATCAAGCCCTTATTCTCGGGGCCGGCCTGGCTACGATGTTATACATTTTTATCAAAGAAGGAGTGTCTCCAGAGTCATTAAAGAGTGTGGTTATGGCTCTTACATATTGTTGGGGTTTGGTTTTGGCCATTTATCTCATGGGTCACGGGCTTGTCGCAATACCTCGAAACCTTTTTAGAAATGCAAGCATTAGTGGAAAATTAAGGAGGATTCAAACTCGGGCACCCAAAGTTCATGAAAACATGGAGGAGGCGATTCAGAAATTGGAGGATTTGGAGGCACAGGTTGCCCAGTTGGCTCAACGGAAAACGGGTACTGCGAGGGACTTTAAGGACTGGATCGAGGAACTTGCGGATGAAACACATTTACCCGAATCTCGACCGCGAACTTTGTCACGGCGGATGTCTGAACCAAATGCAACTATTCCAAATGTCATTACGGAACGATATCTGGCAGATCTCAGTCGCCAGCTGACAAGAGCCAGACACAGTCGTGCCCGATACCTTGATGAATGGGATCGACTTCTCAAAGATGCGGTGCACACACAAACCGTATTGGATTCAGCGGCATCAAAGAAGATTGAAATCGGCCAAAGCTCCCCCCATTCTTCTGCATTCAATCGAATCACTATTTTAACACCTCATACTCGGTATCTTTACGAGTACTTCTTCCTACCGTACTCCAAAACTGCGTTGGGGTTTGTTTTAACTCTCGCGTCGATATGTATCATTTGGTCTGAATTCATCAAGTCCATCAACCCCATTTTCTCTATTATTGCTGTCACGGTTGTTCATCATCGGGATAGTGAAAAAGGCGAAATTGGATTCGCAGGCCAGGTGATTGCATCTTTCTGGATCTTGTACATGTGTGCAGCAGCTTTGAGCTCCTTGTCTGAAGTCAAGGTTTGGCGGGGACGCGCACTTGTCAGGAGAAACACTCATGGAGAGGCTGCTATGTGGTTTGCAATGCAAGTAGCCAAGCTTTCCGTGCCACTTTCCTTCAACTTTATTACCTTTCTCCCGCCAGATGTCTACAAAAAGACGATGTTTTACAAGTTTCTTGGAAAGCTAATTGTATTCACACCCTTAGGGGACTGGTTTGATTGGTTTTTCCCAATATTTATATTAGTTCCTGTATGCGCAACCCTTTTCAATTTATATGGAAAAGTTAAAGATTGTGTGGGGTATGGAGGAGTCATTGAAGATGAGGATGAAGAAAATGAAAGTGGTTATGGTACAGAATCTTGGCGTGAAGGTCGTGATCTGATTGAGCGCGAGTTGAATGGTGGCCACTCATCACTCGGTGGACTTGGAGAAGTTTCTGTAGATCGACGTTCCGTTCCGAACAACCCCAACAATCGGGCCGCTCCTGTATTGACTGTACCGCGAGCCGAGAGGCAACGAGCCCTTGGCACAGCATCTACCTCGAGACCAAGTGTTGAGCCCCAACAACGCCGCGTCGAACCCGAAGATGAGAACTTTTTTGAAGCATTGGGTCACCGAATGAAGAACACCATCGACACTTTTGAACCACCACGATTCCTCGAGGGAATCAAGAAACCGAAGTGGATGGGAGGGGATGATGAAAATGACGGACAATCAAGCAGGAGTGGGAACGATTTCACTCGCTGGTTTGGGGGCGGTAATCAAGAAGGAAGAGTAAGATTGTAAGAAATATTATACAGTTTGTACTTTCTCATGGGCATAGCGGGCGGAGTTTATAAGAGTTGGAAAGGTCGTGTCCCTCAATACCTAGACACTTTTGAATTCATAGAATAATCAATGATAAGATATAGTATATCCCTCAACGGTTTTCTTTGATTAGCACAGGAGTCTCTTAACGAGATTAATAATTGAACCCCTAAAGATTTATATGAAACGATCAAAACTTAATATCTTCATCTTCATGTCTCTCATTCAAAGATTCCAGTCCATTCTACTCGGTGAACCCCGGATCGTACAACGCACCAATCAATCTTCATCCTCAAGACTCTGTAATCCATTCTCCAGCCTCTTTTTAAAAAATCATCATTGATCAAAGCCTCACTAAGCCTAGACCTGCAGTTCTCACCGCAAGAAATAAAACCCTGTCAACACGGACTTGGCATCTAAATCTCCACAAGCACAGCAGTATCCACTCCGATTATCTATCTGTCAGACCCAGATTTGCCCGTTGACACGGGTTTGTAGCGGGGTTTAACGCCAGAGCCGCTTCATGTACCGGACGATGTTTTTGGTCTGGAATATGAATTGAGTCTTTTTCTTCTCTCTGTGTTTTTCTGCCTTCGTTCAGCTTGCTTCACGATTCGTTGCGATAGTTTTTGATTCTAATTGATTACTGAAGAGTAACTTTGAATTTGAAGACCCGGCTGACCACCGATTCTTGGACCAGGAAAGACGATTTTGATGTAGTGAATTATTTTGAATAAGCATCTCAAAATCTAAGGTCAATAGAAGGAATTTCATAACCATAATTAATACATGAAGATTTGCAAAGATGGATGATTATATGTTTACGTTAGTATTATGAGTTTGAATTTGCTTAGGGAAGGTTGCTGATTTGATATCTGGTAGGTCAAATGTCGCTCGGTGCAGAAATGTTATCGAGCATACTACTTATTTGGAGATGGTATCTTATTCGGTAAGAGATGCTTCAGAAATAGTGAGAAAATCATTGCTAATTTTGTTACAGGATCCTACTTTGAATTCGATAGAAGAACACCCTTTAACACCTGATGAATTTGAGAATTTTCTTAATCGGAGGGTAAGATGGATTGTCCTTGATATCATGAAACTTCACTGACGCCCATTTTTCTATAGGGTGCTTTTGCTCCTCCAGAATTACCAGAGGGAGTGGTGCAGATAGCATGTGTTCGGTTGATGTGAGCATTCATCGACGAACCTTTCATGAAGAGATGCTGACATTTTTACAGCCTTCAATTAAATGCCAAGCACCCAGATACTTTCGCTACCAATGTCCTCAGTTTCCCATCTGCTACATATATTTCCATGGTAAAGACTATGAATTTACCTTTTAGATCAATCGAATCCGGGAGTGCCGTCGGTCCTATATTCTGGGCTGCTTATGATCAGGATGAAAAGAATCCCCATCTACGCAAGTTTTCATTCTTCTGTAGCCCAGATATCAACTAACATATCATCAGAAATCGTGAATCGCAAAAGTGATGTCCGGAAAAAGGGGCTGACGCGTGGTTGGGAACTTACTCTTTCTCATGATATCAACTCCGGGTTAACAACTGGATATGCGAAAGGCACAGAAAGTTCCGACATGGTGGAATCCATTAGACATCTCAAAGCTTGTATTCTCCAAATCGGACATCCGATGCTGTTACCAGCCATCATCTTTTCCCACGACATATCATACAAAACCGATCTCAAGCAACGAGATGCACGTGACTGGCTGCGAAAACTCGAGCATGCTGTATCGATGCGTTCGGAGATCGAAGAGAAAGAGGGATATGTGAGAGAAGGTGTTATAGATCTCGATGCTATCAACAGAGACTTGGTTGAATGTCATTCCCAAGTGCTATGGAAGAGACCGAAAGCTTATCTGCAGATTTTAGCACAGCTGGAGAAGGCAATGAAGATGTTTGAGGAAAAATTACCAGAGAGGAGAAATGACGAAACTATGAGAGCTTTGCAGGCTAGCATGTTAGCAAGATTTGACTTCTATCGGGTGAAGCTTCAGGGTATCGATAGTTACGCATATACAACATTACAGAGATTGGATATCCAACGAAGTGCAGTTCGTACTTTCCTCCCCTCAAGCTTTGCAAAACTAATCATAGAAAACTAGCTCTACAACATTATCGCCCAAAAAGAATCCAAACTCAACTTCCAGATGGCCAAAGAACAACGCCAGCTTGCTCACGCTGCCAAACGCGATTCTAGCACGATGAAAACTATTTCGCTCCTCAGTGCCATCTTCTTCCCCGGCGCCTATCTCGCTTCCGTCTTCTCGATGACCTTTTTCAATTTCCAGAACGAACCGGGAACACCGGCTGTGAGCGAGAGTTTCTGGTTGTAT